GGCGAGCCGGAGCCGGCGGAGCACGAGAACAAGGGGTGGACCGGCGACTGCTGCAGCCACTGCTCTCTCAGCCAGCCAGGCGGGCCGAGAGTGGAGAGTGTAGTGGGAGACAGAGAAAGAGAGTGTGTGTGTGTCTGTGTGGAAGGGAGAGAACCAGCGTATCACGATAACGTTCGCAATGATGTATCACAACAAACAATCAGATGAGAAAGAACGAGTCTGAATGATGACTGAAGAGAGTGCTGCACACCGGCGGCCCGGAACACTTGCACTAGCGGCTTCGCCCGCAATTCGGCACGACGCCCCCTCCACCCTCCGCCCCGCACGCTGATAAAGACTGATGTGGCGGCTTCCCTGGCCCGCCCCGCCCCGCCCCGGCCCTGACGTCAACGCGCAGCGGCGGCGAGGCGTCCTTGTCTGCGGTGCACGCTATCATATCGACACACTGCTGGCGGCCGGGGCCGGGCGGGGCCGGGCCCCAGACTGTGGGTCCCAGATGAGCGCCGCGCCCCGCTCGTCCTCGGGCTGGGCTTGCTCGGCTTGCGCGGCTTGCACCGCTCGCGTGGCGGCGGCGGGGCTCGGCGTGGTGGTGCAGTGCATGGCGGCGGCGCACGGAGGGCCCCGTGTGGTGCGTCGCTGCACCGCCCCCTCTTACCCCGGCACCGCCCAAGCCTGTGTCGATAGCCCCTTTGTATTGCAGTGCTTGGCGAGGGTGGTGGTGGGCAGGGCAGGGCGCGGGGGTGGGGTAGGAAGGGGGGCCGTACCCAGACCCTCCCCCCGCTGCACAGGTCGATGAACCATCCCAGCCAACAGGCCCGCCCAGCCCCGGGCTTGTGAGTGAGCCCCTCAGGGGGTTGCACCGATGCCCGGGGGGGGGGGGGCAGCAGGAAGAATTCAGGGAGAGAGACAGAGCCAAAAAGACGCGGAGACAGCAAGACCGGTGAGAGGGATGCAGAGAGACCAGAGGGTCAGGCAAGGTGGTGGATTGAATGCCGGTGGGCGGAGACAGTGCATGAGACGGCAGGCGGTGGTGGTGGACGTACGTCACGAGACCTTTGGCCGAAGCCACGAATGGCCCGCCTGACCGGGATGGGCAGAGAGCCGGGTGGGGCGAAGCAGGGCGGAGCGGGGCGGGGTGTGGGGCAGGGCGGGGGCGCGCTGCACGGCCACGGCCACGGCAATGTCGGAGGCGGGCGAGTCCACGACACGACACCACATCACATCGCGAGCGGCTAGGCATCGGCTCCTCCTCGCCCGGCGGCCATCACTTATGGACGCGGACACGGGGGTTTGACGTCCGCTGCGCCCCGCTCCGCCCCGCGAGGCCTCCACGACCAGCGCTCGCGCCCTTGATTAATATTGCCACTCACGATCCATGGTGCACGAGAGGCGAGGGGAATCCGCTCCCGTGAAGGTTGCGCACACGCACGACGACGGGGCACAATGGAAGAGGGGACCGCCTCTCTTTCGAAGCATACCACTGCTTTTACACCTTCCGGATTGGTGCACATTCCCCCTGTTTTACCAATCCAGACACTCTAAGTAACGACTTGATTTTACACCCGTCTATTCCTTTTGTATCACTCTATTTTCGTGCCCCAGATTACGACGGATATGGTCGGATTATCTTGCCTTGTTTTTATTGTTGCTTACTTGCCCACAGTCTGGCGGATTACCAGTCGATTCCGCCTGCGTCCACGACGAGGGAAGGGGAAAGGGGGGGGGACAGCGACACGGACAGCGACTGTCTAACCGTCCCCCGTGCAGTGCAGACACACGGACACACAGTTTTGGTGACGCGGGCGGCACGGCGGGACAAACCCTTTTCAAACAGACGGCGCGGCCGGGCCTCCCGGGGGAGATAACGAGTTGGTTAGTTAGTCGGTCGAGGTTTTGTTTGTTTGTTTGGTTATTTGCTCGGCGACGACTCGCACTGTGGTGTTATGCGCCGGTGGAGCTCGAGAACAGTACGAACTATTACATACTTGACGCGTCGTGCGCGTCGCATGGCGTAAAAGCGACGCACGGATTTCTTTTCTTTCTTCTTTTTGAGCGTGGAGGTGTTGTGTGTTGAACTCCATTTATTCCATCCCTCCACCCACGTCCACGTGCCTCGCGCGGGCGTCCTTGCACCCACCCACTCGCACACAGTCGCTCGCACTTATCCGGGTGGGGCCGCGGGGGCGCCGCCGCCGAGCTTGCGCCGAGCGCAGGTCGCAGGTGAGTGGCTCGTTAGGGGCCGCTGTAAGGGGCGCCCCCTTGAGCACCAGCGCCGCCGCCGAGTTTGGCGTTGGGCCGGGCCACTAGGCCCGCCCACCCGACAACTCGCGCGCTTCCTTATTAGGAGTGATACTCGTGTGTGTGAGTGTGTGTTATTGACGTGGCAAGCAAAACGTCGTCGTCGTCGACGCGTTGGGTCGCCGCGACCATCGAGCTGCTCGAGTGCTGGCGCGGCGGGGGCACTCGACGGCCGAGCCAACGCCCCGCGCGCGGGGTCCCCGGCCCCTGCTTGGCCGCGGCCCTGCGCCGTACGGCGGCGTCCTCAACGTCGGAGTGGGTTGACCTCACTCGCGGACCGCGGCGTTGTGCAAGGGAAGGACGATCGACGGGAGGACACGGCGGCATAGCGGCGGCTGCGTCTTGCGGGGACAGGGCCGCAGGGCCGCCACCCGCCCTCATCGCGGGTCGCGTGCACGCCAAGACCTCTCGCGGTGCTGAGCCCCTCGCGATCACGTGACGCACCTGGACGGGCGGGGTAGGCAACCCGTATGGCGCGGCTGCGGGTGGGCTGCCCACCTGCAGGCGGTGTAGTCTCCCCGCCCTCTCCGTCGAACGGAGAGCGGAGCGCGGGCGAGCACCGCCGCCGGGAGGGGAGGGGGCGACGGCGGGTGGTTTGTTTTTATTCCCTACCCGGCGGCTTCCCACCCCTCTCGATATAAACACACACACACACACACACACACACACACACACAGGCAGTGTATACACACACATACTTCTCACGGCAGTGCGTACACCACGGGGTGGGGCTTACCGTGTCGGCCGCACCACGGGGGGCCGCGCGGTGAAACGCGAGGCTCGCAGCCGCAGCAGCAGCAGCAGTGTGGAAGCTGCGTCCCGGAGGACGTCGTGGTGAAGCACTGCATGACGGCGAGCAGTGGACACCCTGCTGCTGTTACGCGCGCAGTGTGTGTGTGTGTTTTGTGTGTGTCTAACGACCGTGTGGACGGAGACATAGTGGCCTTGGAGGATAGAGGAGGGAGGCGAAGTAAACAAGGAAGAGCGACCTGCGCTTCTGTAGCTCCCTTACTCGTTGCTGCCATGCCCCCTTTCCCCCCCTCGCCTTTTTCACCTGCCATGCCGCGCCACGGCGCCGCCGCCGCGCTCCGCGAGCTCCTCCCCCCCTGTTTATCGCTGATCCCTTCCTTTCCTATGGCGCTGCCCGCCCCTGCCGCGCCGCGCGCAGTAAAAAATGTTGCAGGCAGCGGGCGGAGACGGGTGGGCCGGGCGGCCGGAAGTAACTGCGAGCGAGCGCGGCAATATGGTTCGACCGGGCGGGTAGGAGAGCCCGGACACCCGTGTCACGCGTCCTCCTTTTCGCCGAGAGGAAGGCATGTAGATGGAAGAGCAGCAGCGTGGCATGGACTCCACTGCTTCTGGCCTCCAAAGAGGTATACCCTTATTTCTCTCCTTTCTTCGTTTTGAGAATTAAATATTGTTAAAAACTGGACAAGTGAGAGGGCCACACGAGAAACGTTATCGAAAAAGACCAGGACACTCACAAAATTGTCCATTATTATTTGAAATTCCCGCCTGGTGCATACAATTAGCCTTGTTTGTAATTCGGTCTGTGTGGCCTGGGGTATGCCCAGGACCCTGTTAGCGTCGTTAGCCGCAGCGGGCGCGGCGTGGTGGGCTATACGCCTTCTGACCACACTACACCCCGTCCCGTACCCCCCTCCCCCCCTCCCCGCGGCCCACTCCTGTCAACGCGCAGATGACAAACGCACATTGTGCGAGCTTAAGCCGCTGCCGGGTCACGCTTTTCCTTCATTCCCCAGCGAGTGTAAATAAAACGAGAGAAAAACGGCTGGAGCGGACGGGCGGGGCTTTTTGTGCGTGGCTGGGGGTTTTTCCTCATTCCAGCCCTCCCTCCCTCCCCCTCTCCCCCCCCTCTTCTTCTTGCCCCACTTAACACGGTACTTTTTCCCTCTTAGCTCGGACAATTTTCTCGACCCTGCTGCAACGGCCACCCTCTCTAAGGAGCCGTTTTAAAATTAAGGAATGAAACTGAGAGAAAGCGGTGCAATCTGGCCTTATGTCGCCTCGCGGGCCGTTTCTTTCTCTCTCTCTCTCTCTCCAACTCCTCTGTTCATGCTTGAGCTACACGTACTCACACATAAGCCGAAAGAGAGAGAGAGGGAGGGAGAGAGAGAGAGGGGGTGGGAGGGGGAGGGTGACTGGTTCATGCCCAGACAGTTTTCACAAAGGCGGCCCCACCCTGCTCCGCACAGAAAGGTTTTTCACGCTCCGGTGGACGTGTGCTTGTCCATTTCTGATGGGCCATTTCTGCCACAAGATGAGGGAGGGGCTGACAAGGGTTGGGGGCGTATAGGAAAGTGTGTGAGAGAGAGAGAGGGGGGGGGGGATACACGGAGGAGAAGAGGGGGAGAAAAGACAGAGCAGCTGAATGGCGTGCAGCACCCAGATCCTTCTGGCGGAGTGATTTCTGTTGGAGATGGATATGAAGAGAGGAGGGGTAGGGTGCCCCCCCTCCCTCGCCCTCGGTTCGCTCGAGTTGCACTTGTGCCCCCTTCTCCGTCCCGCCGCAAACTGAAGTGCATGCAGATTGATGCAGATTAGCAGCACAGCGGAAGCTGCAGGGGTCGTTGCCGGGCCGGGCCCTACACCACTACACTGCCCTACACTGCTGACAAACGTTAATTCTAGTCCCAAAAATTATAACGATTTACAAGTGTTTCTCCTTTTCTCTCCCGCAGGTGGCCATCAAGATTATCGACAAGTCGGTCCTGGACGCAAGCAACCTGCAGAAGGTCTACCGGGAGGTGGACATCATGAAGCAGCTGGACCACCCGCATATCATCAAGCTGTACCAGGTGAGCGACGGCGGCGTGCCACTCATGCTCTCACGTCCCGCCGACGGGCCGCCGCGCGCGCTGACGTCCTGTCGACATCCGGCTGACAACGAGACGCCGTGTCTCGCGAGCCGCCGCCGCCGACCGCCGACGCGTTGACGTGCACTGCATTAGCTGGGCTCTAAGAGCCTCCTGCATGCCTTAAGCAGCCTGAGCGGGGAGGGGGCGGGCGAGGCGAAATTTGTTGCTAGTCGGCAGTCATTCATCACCTTGCAAGTATAGTGGAGGTGAGGGTGAGGGGGGATTAGTAATTGCTAAGGAGTTAGAGGGGTGGGGCGGCGGGGTGGGCTGGGCGCACGCCCCATCGTGCAGCGCCCCACTACTCGCCCCGCCTTTCGCCATTGTCAAGGTCAGCTTGGGAATGAAAGTCACCCGAAATAGCGGAGGTGCGGGGGAGGTGGGGGAGGAGGAGGGTGAGTAGGGGGGACCGGGACAAGCTAGCAGCAGGGCGCCAGAGAGCCGCGGCACCACCAGAGGGTGACACAGTCCCGGCCCGCCCGGGCTGGGCGGCGGCGCCTCGCGGGACCTGCCATCCCGCTGCATGCACGACATGACATGCCCCTCGAGAGTACCGGGGCCGGCCTGTGTGTGGCTCGGGTCGAGTAGCGCGCAGTGGTTTTATTCCCCTGGCTTTATTCCCCGGGACACAGCACACCAGGCTGCTCCGGTGCAGTTCGCACCCGCGGACCCGGTTGGTGTCGGGGGTGCCGCGGGTGCCTCTAGGCCCGGCTTGGGTGGGTGGTCTGAGGTCTCTGAATGCCTTTCGCAGTCCGTACCCTTTATGCCCCCCCCCCTCCTTACCGCGGCGGTGGATGGGGCCGGCTGACATTCTCACGGGCGCGCGGGGCGCGCTGAGGCGGTGACGTCACACCAACCAGGCCGTCACGGAACGGGTGACGTCACCCTGGCCGCCGCCGCCGCTGCCCGGGGTTGCCTCGGCGGGGTTGTCCTGGCAACCCTTGTACCGCCCCTGGCCCCTTCGTCCGGCCCGGCCCACACCCCAACCGGGGCCGGCGGGCCCAACGGCAGCGAAAAGCCTTCTGACTTATTGACTGGCACGGCATGCACCCCCCGTATAGTCTCACTCTCCGGCTTCCCCTATACCGTCTCATCCGCGCACGGTCTATGTAAAGGAAAATGTGTTGTTGTCCCGCGCCGCCGTGCGGGCCGAAGACGCAATCGTGTTTACAGCCGCGTACCTGTTAGTTTTATCGCTTGTTCTGCGAAACCATAGTGACGTTCAAAATACAAAAACTCAGAAATGGAAAATGCTAAATGCTCTAGAGTCACGAGACTGTAAAGTTAAGAGATAGAGCAAGGTACTATAACTAAGATAACAAAACACATATTTTTTGAATAAAAATGTGGGGAAAATTAAGCCATTAACACGCGTTGAGTCCCACGTGACCACACGCGTGGTCACAATAACACGTGTTTGCTACCCACCTTGGAACTCAACGTGTTAACAATTTTGTTCCTTAAATTGCAATTTTAATTATTTTGAAAAAAAAAAAAATATTCCTGCGTGGCCAGTGACGGCAGCGGGGTAATAATTTTGTGTGCGCGGCACTTAATCAGAAACTTCTTTATCGCCCCGCTGTGCTATGTACAGACCAACCCCCCCTTCTCCCTCCCCCCATAAGGGCGCGTGCGATAGAGGTGACGTCGGCCCTTTTCGGAGGAGGGCGGCGGCGGCTGGGGAAGGGAAGGAGGAGAGGGTGGGCCTGGGCGAGATGTAAATAGTGCCCCCCGCGCGTTCGGCGCGACGGGCGTCTTTGGGCCCTGCTTGAATTCCTTGACCGCGCGGTCGGTGTATATGAATTCGGCGTAAGCAGCGGCGGGCGCGGGCGGGCGGGCGGCATTGTGGGTGTCATTCTATTTTTACGCTTCCGTGACGACAACGTCGCCGGGGGGTTAGGGAAAGGTGCGGTAGGAGCAGGGAGATGGGGAGGGGAGGGTAAAAGGGTTCAGAAAGGTGGATGCCCGTCTTGTACCGACGTCACCGTACCGCGCAGAGCACGACCCCCCCAAAGCCTGCTATTATTAAACGCAAACTCGTTTCTCTCTTTCTATTTCAGGTCATGGAGACGGCCAACATGATCTACATCGTCTCCGAGTACGCCAGCTCCGGCGAAATTTTTGGTGAGTGCCTCTCTTTCTCTCTCTCTCTACCCCTTTTCTCTTGTCGCCCCGAGTGACGGGTGCGTCGTGCGCTATTTTCAGTCGCCCAAGAGAGCCGGCGCCGCCCACCGGCGCTCCGCGTGGAGAGGGTCGGCGCCGCGCGGCCCTCTGGAAGGTCACGTTCAAGTTTAACTCGCGGCCCCCAACAACGTCCCTGGTGACTCGCGCCTTTGATTCCTTTTATAGCAAGCGCTTGCTTTTATTTTTAAAACTAACTGCTTCCCCATACTAACCAACTACTGCACGTCAGCAAAGCGCGCACGTGGTTCAGTCGAATCGCTACTGCCGCGCCAGCCGAGCAGGCTGTGCTTTATCTCTACACATATCGTGTCCGCTCGACCCTTCCGCGTCTCGTGACGGGTGGGTCCAGCCCCCTAGAGAGGGCGAGCGCTGTGGGAGCGCCAACGTCACGTGACGGTCTAGCTACCCCCCCGCCCCCCTCCCTTTCCACCACGGGTGATTCGATTATCAGCGGCCACGCCTACGGCTCCGGGTGGGTCCGTCCAGTGTGAGCGGAATGCTGCTCAGGCCCCCTCTATACCCCCCGGTGTTCTCCCCTCCTCACCGCCCCTCTGAGAACACGACTTTGCTTCCTCCCTCTCCTGCTTGCTCCGACCACCACCCTCCCACCCGCCCTTTCTCCCAAAGGTTTATTCCGTATACCCCGCCGCACCGCACCCGCCCCTATCTGGCGAAGGGGCAAGTAATGTGGGCGGGTGATTAATTCCTCTCGAGTAGCGCAGTGACCTGGCCCGGGCCTTCCGGGGGCCCTGTATAGCAGGGGAAAGAGAGGGTATAGGGAGAGTGTGCGGGGGAAAAACCTCAAGGTCCAACACTGGAAGTAATTGGGAAATGCTTCCACAAAAAAAGGACGGTAAAAACGTTTTTTTCCAAATATTATATACGCAGAAAACGGTACAGTACATATCCATAAGCCAAGGAAAATTCATTTTAAAAGGAAAAAGGGAATTCGCATCCTCAGTTTAAGGCATTTCAATTGTTCGCAGGGAAATTTCCTAGGAAATTTCTTCAACACAACGACAATTTTTTTTTTTTTAGACGTGTTTTTAGTAGGCGTAACGAAGCCTTCCCCTTTATTTTATAACAATATTTGCATAAATAAGGAAAATTTCATTGTATTTTTTTCACTTAAAAATAGCTTTCATGCAAGGCATTTGACTTGTTTGACGGATACCGTTTTCTGGGGGTAAAGTAAGTAGCGCCCGTGAAAATCTCTTCAACTAGATGGTAAGTCTGTGTGTTGATGTTTGGTTCCGTTTGCCGGCAGACTACATCGCCAAGCACGGACGGATGACGGAGCACACGGCGCGGCGCAAGTTCTGGCAGATCCTGTCCGCTGTCGAGTACTGCCACTCGCGGAGGATCGTGCACCGCGACCTCAAGGTGAGTCTTCTTGCCAAGCATGCGAAGATAATTAAAAGGCGTTTTGGCGTCAGAAAAAAGCAACGCCATAGTTAACAAAACTGGGAAAAAGAAAATAATGCATAAAACAGGTAATGCGACTTGTCTATCATGACATTACTGCGGGAAAGTTTTTTTTTGATGAGACGTGTCCTAAACAGCCGGTAGTGAAACTACGCCGCAGCTGGCTCGCGGCAACTGGATTGTATATAAAAAAATTAGTGTGTGACCGTGTGACCTTTCAATACAATGGAATTCCTTTTTGTAAAATCACACTCACACGCTTGATTATGCGATGGAAGGCCGTGGCGCGAGCCGTGGCGTGTGAGTGAGGAGTGTGAACATTGCGTGGTGCGGAGGTGGGCTGTGGCGTGCAGAGCGGCGCCGAGGGGGCCCTACTTGATCCGCCAGGATTACCGCTTCGATCCCAAACCCGTCGAAAATGTCGCTTGGCTGGCGCGGCGGCGGCGCAGCTCTCTGACGCACACATCATGACCGGTCATCGGAGGGAGGGGACGGGCGGGGGCGCAGGGGCCAGGACTAGATGACGTAAATTGGAGTATTGACCGCCGGTGGGCCTGGTGTGGCGAGAGCCGGCTAGCAGACAGCACACCGCCCGCCATCAGTACCGGCCATACCGCTGTTGTTCGCCGGGGTCCGAGGGGCTAACCGGGCCGATGGGTCGAGATGGCACTATTCGAGGCACTACTTCAGGCCCGGGATCCCTAGCCACCCCTCCCACACCACCCCGTCCGTGGAGAGGCCCAGCGCCACCATGGGGTAGGTCAAGTTGTCAAGCGAGCGCGAGCGGGTCCTCCAACAGCGGGAGCTGCTGGGGGACCGGGGCCCTCCGGGCGCCTACAGAGCGCGAGGTAGGCCGGACCGCAACACTCCGGAGCGCGGCGGGTGCGCCTACCCGACCTGTTCGCAGGGGCGCGGCGGGGTAGTTCAGTATCCTACCGCTGAAGGCGCTGCGGGCGAGCGCCTACAGGGCGCGAGGTAGGCCGGCCCGCAACGCTCCGGAGCGCGGCGGGTGCGCCTACCCGATCTGTTCGCAGGGGTGCGGCGGGGTAGTTCAACGTCCTACCGCTGGAGGCGCTGCGGGCAGGCTACATCAGGGCGCCTACAGGGCTCGAGATAGGCCGGCCCGCAACGCTCCGGGGTGCGGCGGGTACGCCTACCCGATCTGTTCGCAGGCGCGCGGTGGGGTAGTTCAGCGTCCTACCGCTGGAGGCGCTGCGGGCGGGCTATATCAGGGCGCCTACAGGGCTCGAGATAGGCCGGCCCGCAACGCTCCGGAGCGCGGCGGGTGCGCCTACTCGACTTATCCGCAGGGGCTCCGCACCCGGCCGGGGGCCAACGTGCGTGCGGCGACACGTATTAGAGGGTCATTTAAAGGTCGCGAGGGGTCACCAGCAGCACTACGTGCCGGTGAAGGGGGTATGGGGGGAGGTGCCGCCACTCTAGAAACAAAACGCCCTCGAGTCGAGTGAGAGAAAGGGGGCGTGTTAACGGGGCTAGGTTAGAGGGCAGGGGAGAGAGAAAGAAAACAGCGAGAGAGATAGAGAAGGGGGGGAGGCTGGAAGCATCAGGCAGGACATGCATCCTCCCCTCCCTGCGCCTGCGGCGGCCGCACATCGTCCTACATCGTCCTCCCGTTTAACCCTGCCGCAGCCCACGCCCCCCGCCCACGCCCCCCCCCGGGAAAAGTCGTGTCGTGTAAGTCTCGGGCAACAACACACGAACGCAGGTGTCTCCGGGGTGCCTTGCTCGCAGG